GACCGCTGTAGAGCAAGAATCCGTGAACCACTTTCCTTACCACTGGATATTTTGTAACTTACTTCCTGGTGGTCTAGCCCCCTTCCTGCCATTCTTCCAGCAACAGCCATTGTGAGCTCCTTAAAAGCACAAATCACATCTCCTTACACCTTTCCCTGGGTTCCTTTGAATTCAAAAGTTTGTACTGTTTCTCGTGGAAGGCACTGAAGCCTCCCCAACCCACTTTCTGCCTGTGTCTCTCCAGTCTCTACAGTCTGAGTTAGGCACACGACTTCTAGTTTCCAGGCTGTTCCTCTGCAGAATTCCACCTGATCCTGATCATCTCCTACATTGCTTCAGCTCTCAGCTTAATGGCACTTCCTCATGAAGACTTTCTTTTTCTTCACATCTAAATTACATTCCTCCATTTTTCCCGTGTATCTCCAGTTTGTTTGTTTGCTTTTCCTGTTTGGGGACTTCTGGCTGATTCTCAAGGTTCACTCTCCCTCTCTTAGGTCTCAGTAGAATCTTCTTATGCACCCAGCCTGGTTCCCTCTTTAGTGTCAAGATGTGGCCATGTGTCTGAGTCCCAGCTAATGGGAAATAAATAGACCTGATGGAGCACACTGGAAGATTTCCTAATAAGGCCTGGGGATTGCAATCTCTGTTGCTGAAAAGTAAAAAACAGTGTTGGGATATAAAATGCTTACTATTAGACCTAAGATTATCACAGCGGTATTATCTAACCCGCTATCACAAATAATAAGACACAGACAGCTGTTAGATTTATAATTGCCTTATTTACCTTGGGCCAGGCAGATATTTCACTTACATTGTCTCAATAACCTCACCATCCATCTCCCAGCGCCCATCCAATGTCATCGCCTTAATCATCCTCATCTGGTCTACTTTTCGTCAGTAATCCCAATATTCTTGCTTATATTTTCATCTTGGTGTTTTCTCCATCCACGCCAACCTTGGAGTCCTTCCTCCCAGCCAATGTGGTTTCTTCTCCAAGCTAACCCATTATGATAACCTCCTTCCTCCTCTTTTCCCATTTGTTAGTTTCCTGTGATTGGGAACTCTGAAGACTGGGAACCTTAGCCACACCGACCCCATTCTGCCCTGCCCAGGTATATGCCATATATCAGTCAGTCGGGTAGGTTTATAAAACAAGGCTAGGTGTAACCAGATCTTGAGGGCCATCGTCAGAACACCCCCCAGCAAATCTCCATTTTCCATGTTTAGGAATATGATCCTGGGCCAGAGATGGAAATTTTGTATTTGTTGCAGGGGTTAGAGGGTAGGAGTGAGGGCAACTATGCTATATGAGAAAACTATGCAAATCCATTGAACTAATAGACTTTTATAGCTGCGTTACAGTAAAGAAGGTAATTGGTGGGTTTTACGAGGATCAAGGTCTCATGGGAGCATATGCAATGCAAAGGGCGCCCTGCTGGTATTATGCAGCCTCTAGGGACTGCAACCCTGAAGAGCAAATATTTTAAAACATTATTTTTTTGGTTGCAAAATAGAATAACTGACAAGAGAACACACCAAGTGCAGGCAGGCCTACAAAATCCAAGGAAAATTAAAACACAAATGAGGGATGCAAAGGGGTATGGCCAGAGAGAAAGAAGAAAACCCAAGGGTTGTTAGCCATAGGCCTTGGAGGAGGAACACCGTTGAAGTGACACTTTTACAAGAGTAAAATCCTCATCCCTCCATGTACAAGCATACATGTTTGTAAGTACTTGAATGAGTGACTAAGAGCCAAGGCTGGATGCCGGTCTACATAGGTTCAGTGCTGTCTCTCATTTGCTAGTGGTATGACCTTGGCCAAGTTACTCCATTCTTACGCACGAGTCTCATTTGTAAAATGGGATAGTTGCAGCCCTGCCTGCATGTGATTTCTGTGGAATTATGTGACTAAATGAAGTTGAAAGCACGTTGAGCCTGGTACATGGTCAATCTTGTGTGTGAGGATTTTTTTTTTAGTTATTGCTACTCATTACAATGCATTTATCCTACTACTTAAGGACAAACAAACAATCCTTCCAAAGGAAATAACAGAAACAAACATTAGGAGAAGGACACATGAATTAAAGTAGAAGAAATTAGTTCATGAGATAAAGTAAGTAGTATGGGCTGAATGTAAAGGAAAAGTTTGAAAGATCACTGGGTACCAAATGCTTCTGATGACTAAATATGCGCAAGGCAGCAGCATTCAGGAAGTCTTAAAATGATCAACCGCTGGTTACCTGTCTGAAGGCCTTATTTTTTCTGTCTGAGAAATGTAGGCAAGATCCACAGCTACTCATCCCACTCTAGCCAGGGACCTGCTCCTCAGTGAGCCAGGAGAGCAAACAGTGCCATATCTGGGCCCCATCTACCATCTTCCTTGTGCAGCTGGGAGGAATGGCATAGCTCAGACTGTGACGCTATATGCCGATCCGAAGCACTCCACCTGTTTTAATTAGCCTTAAGTGTAACCCAGCCCCTTCCTCTGGCTTCCTGCCAGGGGATTTCAACGTCTGTTTGCCAGGCTTTCGGGCGATGGCCTCTGGGACAGCCGACCTGGCTATGTATGTGGAGGCTGATTTCCCACTCCACAGACTGGCTACCCCACAGGGGGTAAGAAAGCACGTGTGGCGTGGTGTGGCGTGGCAAATCTTGTTTGCTTTGTGCATATTTGTGTTTAAAGTGATCTTATATTATTTTTAAATTATAAAATATTTAAATATGACCCAGGGGACACAGTAAAAACTGATAAATTAAAAGCATTGTGGTTGCCAAGAAAAAAAAATCCCTGTTCTTACAAGGCCAGTTAGGCAGCACTTTCTCTTTTGGTGGTTCTCAAGACTCTTCCCATTTGAAACAGAAATGCTAGCTTTCATTCCAGGGTAGCTTGGTTTTGCTTTTCAATATGGAGCTGCTTTTGTAGGTCAGGCACCAGCTCCCTCTCCCAGGTGTTTTCTACTCTCCTCCTCTCCCACAGCAAAGGACTCCATACAGTTGGATCTTCAGCCAGTTTGCTTACTTTGGGCGCTCTGCTCTCTCTCTCTCTCTCTCTCTCTCTGTGTGTGTGTGTGTGTGTGTGTGTGTCTCCCTCTCTCCCTTAATGGCTGGACAGAGGATGAGAATGGTAAGTCTCTTATGACAGCCCAGCTGGGTGCTTGAAGAGCCATTCATGTCCACATAACGCTGAGCGACCCAGAAGTCTCCCAGCCATGCCAGAGCAGATAGATCTGTCATCCTGAGCCCAATAATCACATTTATAGTTTTCCTCTGACACCACAGCAGACATCACCTTTGTTTATTTCTGTGTCTGAACATTTCGGGTGGATTTATCCTAAGGCTGGCATATCGCCTATAGAAACTGTCCCTGGACACTGGGGCTGGGTGTGGGCATCCAGCAACTCTGTATATATTTATATTTTTCCCTAAAGAGGGGCTCCACATTTTGAAGCTTCAGGGCCAATAGAATTCTCTCTAGTAATGTCTCATGACCAGGACAGCAGAGCCTGGATTTTCTACTTGTTAGTAAATTTGAATGTTAACTTTTAGCCTCATTTTGTTGCTGTAATATCAGATTAACATCGCTTACATTTATAGGATTAGATGGTGTGCCCACAGTGCTTCACATACAAGAAACAAAGGTTACCAAACGTTGGCAGTCATCATTACTGGCTTCGTGAGAACAGGCACCACGGCTCCCTACACCTCCGTCACGGGCACGGACATACACTTGCCAAATGAAACCTGCATACAACGAGCTCCACTCTTAACAAATAAAACAACTTAGTTCTTAGCGTGACACCTGCTGTCAGGTCACCTCTTCAGAAAGGGGTCACGTGATCAACTGTTGGCTAATTGTGCCCAGGTTCCAGGAGCTCCTGGAAAGAGCATTGTCTGTCTCACAGCCCTTCTCTGCAGGGTCATCCAAGGGCAGTCCACCGAGGCTAGAACCAACCAGCGTTAGCTGGCTGTCGCCATCCCTAGGCCAGGTTCCCATTTACGTTGGTCCTCAAGCCCCCTGGGGAGCAGAGCGCCGCTCAGCCGGAGCTTGTGGGGTGTGATGCGGTAGCGATGTGGAGTGATGGGACATCGCCCACCTCGTTACCCCTCCGGACTTGTCTCCCTGGCTGAGCTGATTCCTGGGTCCCCCGGGGCGGCCCTAGCGGGCGGGAGGTCGGGGGGAGGAGGCCGCCGCCGCCGCAGGAGGCGGAGCGCTGCACCTGGCGGCCGGTCCTCCAGCTCAGCTCCGAAACGGGTCCAGCCGGTCGTGAGCGGCGGCGGCGGCGGCGAGGACGGGCCCGGGACCAGAGCGGGGAGGAGGAGCAGACGAGGTCGCTCGGCGGCTGCGCCGGGCCACCGCGCTCGCCCGCCCCACCCGGCCCGCATCCAGCCGCCGCAGCCCCGGGAGAGGAGCGAGACGCCAGCCCGACATGCCGCGCTCCGGCCTGCCCGCCGCCGCCGCCCCGCCGCCC